AACATGTATATCTAGATCAACGATGGAATCAGAGTTTATTGTTTTGGATAAAGCAATGGAAGAAGCTGAATGGCTTTGCCATTTCCTTGAAAATATTCCAAGTTGGTCCAAACCTGTGCCTGCTATTTGTATTCATTGTGATAGCCAATCTACAATTGGTAAGGCACAGAGTAATATGTATAATGGAAAGTCTAGACATATCCGTCGTAGACATAATTCCATACGACAACTACTCTCGAATGGAGTTGTCTCTATAGACTATGTAAAGTCTAAGGACAACATTGCGGATCCGCTAACCAAAGGGTTAAATCGAGTGTTAGTCAAAACGTCGTCAAAAGGAATGGGATTGAGGCCTTTGGAAGTTACCGGAATGGAAACCTAACCTAGTTGACTGGAGATCCCAAGATCTAGGTTCAATAGGACAACCTAATTGCGTGTAACGGTGGTATGTCACTGAGGAGGTTAAACCTCCAGCCATTCCTTCTGTCAGTGATACCTGCAAGTGTAGAGGCTAAGCTGAGCTTTTAATGACTCTAGTGTGTTAAACTATTGAGCGGAGTATAGCAGGATACTCAAGTAGAGTTACCTATGTGAGTATGAAGTGGGGCCGCTTCTAGAAGAATTGGGAGGCCAAGATTCTTTGAAACCACTCGCTGAACCAGGCTAGTGTCCAGAGCCACACAGGGCACACCAGTGAGAACAGAATGGTGGTAGAAGTAATTCCCGTGTGAGATCTATTGTCTCAGTTTACATAAACGGTAGAGCAGTTCAAGATGTCTTATTCACTGATCAGCCAGTAAACTCGATAGGTTTTCACTGGGAGAGGTTCAAAGCCAAAAGCTACCTTCTCTGATGTTGGGGTTAGTCCGTTGTACTCTCTTTCAGAGTCATTATTGTTGAACGGTGTTCGTTTGTTGAGTCATTCGGTCAATTTTTATTCATGTGGGGGATTGTTGGAAAAAATGGTTTTTTTTGGTGACTTTAATTAAAGATTAAAGTGGGTCCCAACCATCTACTGTGAATGCCCAAAAACCATTGAGATTTGAATGAAAAATTACCTCATGAAGTTAGCTTCATGGAAAAAAGGTAATGAAGTTTGTAACTCCTGCATTAATGGGGTTTGTAACTCTTGCATTAATGGGGTTTGTAACTCCTGCCTTTATTGCAGAGGTTAATGGTGCATTATGAACAGCCATAAAGGCTAGAGGCTCTTCCTCTCTCCCCTATACATGTATAAATTGAGACCCTCCTGTCAAGTCTCAAACACAGAAATTTTTACTTCCATTTTCACAAGTCAGCTTGCCTGAAAGTTCCTACAGTGAGAGAGTACTGCCACTGTTTTGTTCGCTAAGCTAGACAGAGAGTGCTTATGCCGTAGCTGGTTTTGACCGTCGTATCCTGGGAGATAGACGCCGGGATTCCTCAAGCACTCGACCAGTGAGGCGGCGAAATCTGTTTTAAGGAAACTGCTTCCGTGCAGGCTTCGGTTTCGTCTCTTTACCCTTTTATTGTTTTGTGTATTTCTGTTGAAATTTAGTTGTAATTATTAGCATGTGTTCTTAGTATATATATAATTTGATTTCTTCATAAATCTATTTATTTAATTTCAAAATTTTAACAACAATATGCATAATATCCATAGATATACATGGGTATATAAACACACATAGAGATATAAGAAATTGTTGAAGACTCCTAAGGCTTTTAAGTAGGGGTGAGCATGGTCCGGATTGGGATAAAACCAAGACCAATTCATTATCTACGATTCTTAAAAAATTGGAACCAATCAATTTAAATACAGATTGGATAGGTTTAGAACCACAGATTTACATAATTAAATAACAAAAAAAAATATAAAATAATTTAATTTCATAAAAATATAAACATAGCATCATATTAGTTCCACAATAGCAACATGTCTTTCCATAATAGCGGCATATTGTTCTAGGATTTAAACAACCATAAGAAAACTGGTTTCACCATAAGTATTTAGGCCCCGTTTGTTTCACTGGATATAAAATGGAGGATATAATATGATGTGGGATTTAGTCAGGACATATGATGAATAGGATATAGGTATTGGATAGTATATCCCCAAAGTCATGTTTGTTGACTTGATATATAAGATTGGATATATGTTATGCATGTTTGTTTTACAAAATATATTGTGGGATATAACAAGTAATTTCCAAGATTGCCCTCATAATATTATATTATATTAAATTAAATTAAATAATATTATATTATATTAAATTCAAAATTTATATTAAATTAAATTCAATAATATTATATTAAATTAAATTAAATTAAATAATATAATATTATATTAAATTAAATTCAATAATATTTATATTATATTAAATTCAAAAAATATATTAAATTATATTATGTTAGATAGACAAAAGGGTAAATTGAACTTTTTAAATCATATCCCAACCAAAGGGATATGATATAATGGGAGGGGTGGTGATATTGTATATCCTCCACTTTTGGGGGATATACAATCCCATGAGATATTATATCCTCTTCGAAAAAAAATTGCAAAAATGGGATATGTGGACCCTACAGGATATAATATCCAATCCCACCCTTTATATCCTGGAATCAAACAAGGCCTTAGTACTTATATTGTTTATTGATATACTGCACCTTCTTACATTTAGTATGTGTTTTGTAATTATTAGGTCTTTCGCTGCAAATGCATACAGTTGAAGAGACACCCAGAATTCAAGTACTCTAAGCTTTCGATCACCTCATGATTAAGCAAATCCCTTTTTATTACCATTGATTTTTATTTTCTTTTGGATTGCAAAAAAATAAAAATTGTCATCTTTGCTAACATGAACATGTTTATTATGGTTTATTTTATTTTTTTTATTGTTATTTGCAAAAACAGTGTATTGGATTTATGTTATTAAGACTTATTTCATAGCCACAACTATGTAACTTTAATTGAGAAAAACAAATGATCATACATTCTTTTTTGTAGTGCTTCTGCGCAAAGTTCCATTTTGTTCTATTCTTTCTAATATTAAATTAAATTCAATAATTATATTATATTAAATTCAAAAAAATATATTAAATTATATTATGTTAGATAGACAAAAGGGTAAATTGGACTTTTTACATCATATCCCAACCAATGGGATATGATATAATGGGGGGGTGGTATTGTATATCCTCCACTTTTGGGGGATATACAATCCCACCGGATATTATATCTCCTTCAAAAAAAAATTGCAAACATGGGATATATGGACCCCACCGGATATAATATCCAATCCCAATCTTCATATCCCCAATCAAACAGGGCCTTAGACAATTACAAAGTAAAACTAAAAGCTAACAAACAAAAGCAATAAAAGAACTATGCGGGTTTAGGTTTGGGTTTAGGTTTTATATGGAATAAGAGAAGATACTATGCGAGAAGGTATATAATATAAATACAGGCTATTTGTATATGGTCTGGATCGGTTCTAATCCGAAACCGTGGGGTTCAATCTGGAACCGACTCGTAGACTACGGATTTTTAATTTTTCAATCCGAACCAAACCATGGATTCAAAAAACCAATCCAAACCTACCGGATTGGACTGGACCAAATCAGATTATGGATTTCACGGACTCCTTGCCCAGCCGTACTTTTAAGAGAGAAGGGATCAAATTAACAATGGTTGTGGATTGAGAGTTTGTATAATGACAATAAAACATTTGATACGACCCCAATTTTTTATTTAATTAAGTTCTTACTTAAATTACTTATGCCAGCAAAAATAACTGTTTGTCCCAATTTCAGATTTGAAAAATAGACTTTCCAAACCAAATAAATCAACTTTTTGTGTTACACTCCATCTGAATCGTGAGATGAGGTGAGAAAAAAAATTATAGTGGTTTCTCATTAAGGTGACAAAAGAAAAAAATAATAATTATGATTTATCACCATTATGTTTGGACGAATAAAAGAGAAGAGATAATTTCTCACCTATCTTGTTTGGACAAAGTAAATAAGAGAAAAGAAAGGAAAGTATTGTATTTTATTTTACCAAAATAACTTTTCACATTAATAAGCTATGTTTTTTCATAAGGGTAATTTTTGTGTTCTAGAAAATTTTCATTAAACTCATTCTCTTTCTCACCAAATCTCACCACTTTGGTGAGAATCATTTTCTCACCATCTCTTGTCATTTCTCACAATTTCTCACCTAGTTATTAATCATCCAAACAAGTGAAAGGGTTTCCTATTCTCACCGTTTCTTTTTTTTTTTTTCTCATCAAACCCCTCCGTCCAAACAGAGTGCTAATATTATTTTATGTTATATTAGTAATGTTGATTGAGTTTCTTTAATTTCACTTAAAGGGCCATAAGTTTGCATACTTGCAAAAAACCCTAGATTTTCCCCCAAAAGCTTGAAATTCAAAGTAAATAGCATTGTTGTAATTAGAATAACCTAAAGCTTGATTTTATGGTTGTGATCTTAATACAACAATTAATGATATTGGTATATGTTTTGATTGTGAGATGAACCATGTCCAAAAAAGGCGAGATTTTATACAATCCTAAATTAGTATAGACAATTCATTTTAATCGAAGATGGTTATGCTTGAATTTAAGTATATTGTTTCTCTTGAACATCTCATTGAGGCTTGTAACCACCACAATAAATCATAGTCATTACAATTGATTAATTTACAAAATTAATACAAAATTCATTTTATAAAGTTTGTGGTGAATTGAAAACACTATGAGGACTTTTGGTACGATAGAATTGGTTGGAATTGAATGCTCATTCTAACTTTGTATTCTTTTGTTCTTATTTGATATACTTTATCTAAGTGGGAATAATTATTCCATTAGAATAGTTGTTCTAACAAAATGTGATAATATTTCTTTTTCCTCCAACTTAAGGAATGGCCATTTCATTCTATCATAGAATCACCATAAAATTTTATTTTATTTTATTTTTTTATACTTACAAAACTTAAACATTATTATTTAGTTACCACCACCATTCCCTTCTACTACCATCCATTCTATCATCTACTACCACCACCACCTTATTGCCACCATCACCATCATTGCCACCACAACTACTACAACCACACCACCATACTATTGATGTCACCAATACTGCCACAACCATTACCACTACATCTACAACCATAAAATCATAGCCATTACCATCATTAGAACCATCACTCCACTACCATCAATGTCTCCACCACCACAACCACTACCTTACCATTACTACTACCACTTTACAAACATCACACCACCATCATCACCATTGCAAGAACCATCACTTTACTATCGTTGCCCGCCGCCGCCACCACCTATGATAACCCTACTTGTACTCTACTTAATTATGCATATGATTATGTATTTGATATGAATTTGCAAGTTGAGTATATGAATTATGTGAATTTGGAATAATATCTGTTGCAATTACAACTTTGAATAGAAATTGAAACCCTTAGAGGCGCAATAAACAAAAACCGACTTCATATCTATGATTAGCATGATTTATAGAGCTTACGCTGAAATTTTGAAAAATTACGATTCTTAATGATTAAATCATGTTTTATAAGTTGGGTCATATATGTGTTTAGCCTTATGTTCTTCATTCTTGGTTGAGAGCTCTAGAGAGTGAGTTATAGAAAGTGGAAGAGGAAAGCTAGGGATTTTGAAGAGAATCAAGGGGCAACCTTAGATTTGAGCTAGGGTATGTTAATTTACTTACAATCTTTGTCTTTAGCTCATCTTTGTAATGGAATCAAGAAGGAATTAGGAATTTTGAGCTAGGATTTTGAGTTATGTAATGGCTAGAGCTAAATGTGTGAAATTGAACCCTAATCTCTTCATTTTTGCTTGATTTGAGTTCATTCTTGTGATTACTCCATGAAATAAACTCTAGACGGTTCATACAACCAAGATTTGTTGGAAGATTTACCATGTTATATGTATGTTGAGCTTGTATATGTAATTTACGAATATATGCAATAAATGAGACCATGAATCTAACGGTGAGGCAAGATTGATGTGTGTAATGTAGAATTATACTTAAATCATGCTAGTATATCATGTTTTTGAGTGAGTTTTGCTTTGATTTGGACTTGGAAATGAGTTTGGGAAGTTTGCATCTTTGAGCCATTTTCGAACTGTTTGACTTTGCCCAAACCACACGAGTGCCACAGGCTCTGCACGAGCGGAACATGAAGAAAAACAAAGGTTTTCATTTTGCTCTTTGGGCACTCAAGCGGCCAGTGTTTTCGCTCGAGCGGATTTGGGACGCATGAGCGGTGAAGACTTCCGCACGTGTGGAACCCCCGTTTCAACCCAACTTCAAAAAGGCTGTTTTAAGTGTTTCTTGAGCCTAAATTCACGCCCTGGAAGTATAGTTTCTAATGGTGGTGGTCTCACATCCAAATTCTAAGTACACAAATAGATATGCTCAAATTACTAAATGCTGTTTATTTTCTTTTAACCGTTTCATGCCATTTCTTACCCTAACTTAGTTTCATTTCGCTTCTTGCTATTTCCTTAAACCTTAAATATGTAAACATGACATTTTCAATGAAAAACATATGAAATTGTTGTAGGAAACATTAATTTAAGTCATGAACATTTAGGGCCGTTTAAAGTACATCTTTGACACATGCCTTGTATGTGATTCACATGTAGAGAAGTTTAGCATTAAACACTTGATCGGAATTAAAGAATGGGGAACGATTGAACGGTTATGTAACGAATAAATTGATTGAGTGAATCGAAGGCAATGTACTTTGAAATGTTATGTTTGATTATGTTTCTGCAGGCTGAGTCATTAGGGAGTATCATCCGACCAAGCACTGTGAGTAATTTTTTTGTAACGGTATTTTCATATGAAATACTTTGGAATTGTGAAATTTATGCTTTGTATAAATTATGTGCCTTGACAAGTGTTTTTGAAATGATAAAATATGCTTGAAATCTTCGGAGCAATTATGCTATGGCAAGTTTTAGAAAAAATGTCTTGATAAGAATGAATGAGTTTCCTTTTGAGCAATGATTAAGATAAATTGGGAAAATGTACTTTGACCCTCAATAACTGTTATTTGTCTATGATTTGTCTTAGATGTTTTGTATAAGCTAATGATACACAATAAACGTTTTGTATGGTGTCAACCTTTGACAATTGTCCTGTATTGTAATTCAACAAGTTAATTCAGGCCTTCAGGTACTCTGCTATGACTTGGAGTTATGAAAGGTTTTATAAGCAATATTTGATACTATGTGATTTGAACAAGCTTTAATGTGATTTGGAATCATACTTAAATGTATTATTTGATCGAAATGAAAGAACTTCATTAATACTATATGACATGTGCAATATGGACCTAAGGCCGTTGGTTACATGCTTGGGCCCGAGGCCGTTTGATATATGATTGGGCCCGAGGCCGCTTGATATATGATTAGGCCCGAGACCGCTTGATATATGATTGGGCCCGAGACCGCTTGTTATATGATTGGGCCCTAGGCCGCTTGTTACATGACTGGGCCCGAGGCCGCTTGTTATATGATTGGGCCCGAGGCAATTTGGATATATGATTAGGCCCGAGGCAGTTTGTTAAATAATTGGGCCTAATGCCGTTTTGAATATATGATTATAGATATTGTAAGAATCTTATGATCATCTATTTACACTGTTTTACTGTATTATTACTCATTGAGTTTCCGCTCACCTAATATTATGTATGCATATATAGGTGACCCGCAGCATGGAGCAGACCCCTAGAATCAGTTTCGGGAGCTATTTCGGTGACCCAATCGAGTCATGCCTCCGAGATGAAATTTTGTCTTTGACTCACACCATACCTTGACCTTATTTTATTTTTGTTATTATGGTCTTGGGTTTGTAAACCGTATGTACAAATTTCCTATGGTACTTATATTTTACTTGGATATGTAAATATTTGAATGTGTTATGAGATTAACTTTATAATTTTGCTCATGATTGGTACAACTCAATGAACTTTTCATTATTATATGCTTCTGTTTATAGCGCCATTAGCATAAATATTCTGTATGATCGTTTGAGGCCTTAGGTAATCTACGGACTACTGGCCAATTATGACCCAAACTTTTAAGAACGGGTTCGAGTCATGACACCACCACTACCACTACTATCTCCACCACATGCTGCCACCACCACCACTATCACGACTCACAACCATCACTTCCACAACTATCAACACTATTAGATCTATAACTCTTTTTTTTAATTTATTTATTACTAACTCGTTAAAAGAATAAATGTAATAATAAAAACTTATTCCATTCCATTACTTTAATAGGCATAATCAAACATGACAAAAGAAATGAAGATGAACATTTCATTCCATTCAACTTTATATTTCATTCTCACTTTCGTTCTATTACCACTTCTTTTGTTTTATCGTACCAAACATGCCCTAAATTTCTATTCAACAATTACTTTCAATTAATATATTAGAAACAACTATTCTTATTCATATTAATTAAAAATTGATTTTCAATATTTAAATAACATAAACATTTCAATACCTAAGAATTTCAGTACCTAAGAATAAACACCAGTTTTTCTCCACTAGTACACTCGTATTACATTCTTCTGGGTTCTTGGTTCTAATGCTACTAATATCCACAACAAAAATGCACAGTTACTGCACTGTCTGGTGTAACCATTAAAAGGATATAATTGTGATTGGTGCATTCATCATATGGACAAAGATAATTAAGGGAGAAAAGTGAAACAATGGATATATGTTATTGTCATAAAAGCAGATGCGAGGCAAGCAGGTACATACATCAGAACAAACCAAGCCACCAAAATGAAGAAAAAACCCTTTTTTATAAGAAACAAAGGAAAGAAGCCACAAATACAAAAACAAGCATGTGATTAACAGTCCCACTCCACTGCAAAGACAAAATTCCAGGGTAATTCTTCTATATATAGGAGGAGGCAGCACAACAATAGCATAATAAAAACCAGAACAAGTCTTTTTTCACCTAAAACAGCAGCAAGCATATTCAGTAGTTATTTTTGTGTTCATCTTCATCTTCATCTTCATCTTCATCTCGAAGGCGGTACTGGCTGAAATGGTTGACTCTGAACTTCCATTCTCCTTTGACAGGGTCATAGGACACAAACTCAGCACCTTGATCCTCGGCCTTTCTTTTGAGCATCTCCTCATATCTATCAATTTTGGGGCCCTCTGTATACTGACGCCCAGTCTTCTTGTCAAAACATTTGATGTTGAGAAGTGTTACCTCAGCAGGCTTGTTGAGACCTTGTCCAACCGGAGGTTTCTTGGACTCATCCATGTAAACAATCACCTCTCTGTTGTTAAATTGAATAAGTGACTCGAGATCAAGTCGCCTCACATCTGTCTCGCCAATGAACCTGATGCTACCATAGCCATGCCGTCCCACTACAAAGTCCTTTACACGACGGCAGAACCCCGGTTCAGCCCTTTCCTTGGCAGCCAGTTCTTGGATTCGAGGCTCTGTGTAATAGTCAGAGTGACGAAGCTTAGGCATCAGTGCCTCAATGTCAGCCCCATGCTCATACACAATTGCTGCCTCACCAGCTCTGTGCCCAGTTAGAGTAATGTAAGAGTCCCCTTTCTGGTTTGGATGATCATCATGGACTCCATTGGGTTGTTTATGGTTTGGTTTGACAGGATGACCTCGAAGTTCCTTCACAAGTCCATTTTCAACTGGACCTTCAGCAAGATCAAATTGAATTAAGGTCAAAACATATGGGGGAAATGAGATCGTAGGAGGGGTTTACAGGACTGAATAGTAGAATTAAATCGACAATCGTAAGATTGTACAGAAAAGAAAATTTTTATAATAACTGTATAATAAAATTCTAACTCAACTCTCTCCTACTGACAATGAGAGTGACTTCATCGGATTAAAGCTAACTAACAAGCAAGACTTTTTCTCTCCATTATTTGTCAATCTAGTAGAACTACCAAAAGCAGCGGCACTAAATAAACACAAAGGAAATCCTGGCATGTAGCACACAAACAACCATCCATCATACACCTCTCATGCAAGAGTTAAGTATAACGAGAACGGAAGCAAGCTCAAGTACCAAAGACGCAAAATTGAATCAAAATTTAGCTCTATATTAGATCCACATAGAGTAGCTTCCAAGTATCCAAATCTAGTTTCAAAAGACGCTCCAGTTTCTGTGACGACAAATGGTAACAGAAGAAAATATGAATTTAATCCATAGAAACCTTGCAAAAAACCTAATCAGGACCATTCTCATTAAATAATTACTATTATGAAATAGATTGAAATCATAGAACAAAACCACAGATGAAACAGAAATAACAAAAAAGTCGCACAAGCTGACCTACTGTCTGTATATCTAATGCAAATTGAACTATATACCGAATGCATATGAGTGGAGCACATTCGCAGTGGCGACCTTTAGCAGTCTAGGTGATGGAATAAGCTAGCCAGTGGCTATTGCTTAGGGGAAGAATTGGAGTTATGAGTGGAGTAATGAAGGTATTGGGATAAAAAGGCAAGGGATAAAAATCAAGTAATACAAATGTGAGAAGAAATCTGATTTCTGTCAGACATGTATAAAGAAGAAAATAAACCAAGGATAAATTTGAAAATCAAACAAACAAGAAAAAATAGGGAACTCTTGACTTCCATTTGAGTAAATGATTGAAGGGCTTACACATCACCCAAGAAGTAATCAAATATATTTATATATATTTTTATCAGTAAAGGAGAAATTTCATTAAAAACATAAAATTAAAGGTCAAGGAAATGAAATGCATAGGGAGAGATTCAGCGAGTTCAAATAACTCCCCTACTACTGCTACTCGCATCCACACAAACAACCCCTCGGCCTCGCGAATTTTTTAAGTTTAGAGAAAAAAAAAAAAAAAAAAAAAAAAAAAAAAAAAAAAAAAAACCAGAAAGAAATACAAGAAAAGGGCAGGCCACAAGAAGCAATCAAATAGTTCAACTCCTACTTTTAGCTTTGACCAAGTCCAAGTTGGAAGCAAAAGCAAATTGGACAAAGGGCAGGCCACAAGACAGTAGCATGGTTGTGCAATAGCACAACAAGCACTTCATCCATTGGTTGAAGCATGGTGAATTAGTGATGCTTAGGTTCTTGTTTGAAGCCCCTCCAAGTACAGTTGTGAACCGTAATAGAATACACCATACCAATCAGCCTAAACTCATGATTATCAAGTTCAGTGATCTCTCACAGGTATGACAAGGACCAAGTTTACACGGTAAAAAAAAGAAGCAGCATTTAATCCATTGGTTGGAGCATGGTGAATTAATGATGCTTAGGTTCTTGTATGAAGCTCCTCCAAGTACACCCAAAAGAGAAGGCTGTAAACTGTAATTGAATACATAACACCAATCAGCCTAAACTCATGATTATCGAATTCCGTGATCTCTCACAAGTATGACAAGGACCAAGTTTACATGGGTAAAAAAAGAAGCATTGTAGCTGTTTGCCATGTCAAGTGCAAGACCAACTTAAACAAAGATTTTTCCCCCCCAAGCAATCCAAATTGAATATCAAACGACAATAACCTGTAGACACACAATTTCCATAATGAAATGCATTGGAGAGGATATAGGCAGGGTGGCAATCAATGCACCCTATCAAGAAATGCCAGATCAAGTTCTCATTACAGGTGAAATCAGCGTGGTGTTCGGCCACAAGGCCATTGGTATTGAGACACTGTAAGAATCTGTTTTCATTTTTTTTATTTTTTTATAGATAAACATTAATCAGTTTTATTATGAATAGTAAAATCCTCGCAACTATTATTTTCATTATTGATTAGTGATACTAAGTGTTACCTTAGTATACAATTCTACTTAATTTAAATTCGTCTGTGAAATTTTGCGTATCTGTGTAACAGAATCTCAATTTTGGAAACTAAGTTATAAGCTAAACTACTGTAGTTAAAAGATCCTTAGCTTATATATATATGATCATAATAATGGATATTAGTTCCAATCCATTTTCATTTGGCCGGACAAGGGGCTCACCTCCCTAGGCCATCTCTTTTTCCCCTCAGCCCAAACTAGGTTAGAATAGGTGACAAGTCAAACAAATGAGACTTCAAGAAAGGAAATTAACTGACTTTTCATATATTTTTATTTCAACCAACACTGTGCATTAATGTTGAGCACCTCTTTCCCCCCTTTGCACACATAGACATTCGGCTAAGAGAGAGAAGAGAGGAGAGAGAAACAAGAGAGAAAGGAAGGAAGAAAGGAGAGGAAGTAGAAGGGAGAAGAAAGGAGCCAAGGACCCTAAGACTAATTTTGAGAACGTTGTTAAGGTAGGATACTAAATCCTACTAATATACTATCAAATTCCTAAGATATCTTCTCATGGCTGTTGTGTATATTCCATAAGAGGTGTAAAGGTTGGAAACATGATAGAAACATGCTTGAAGTTAGAAAACCCAATGCATGCTACCCCTTTAACTTATATATGCTTGCATGTCTTCCAAGCCCCACTTCTCCTTTGCATGCCCCACTTCTCCTTTGCATGTGTTTTATCATGATCCCAATATGCATGCTACCCCTTTAACTTATATATGCTTGCACGTCTTCCATGAGCCCCATTCCTCCTTTGCATGTGTTTTATCATGATCCATCTACTGTTATTGCTTTATTCATGTGCAAAAATGTTCCTACAATTATTGGGCGGTGTAGACACCCCATTTTGACCAGCCCTAAAACTTTGATGCCTTCTAAAGCTCCTCCATGAAACAAAAATGAACGATTTTGATCCTCTCGGAACAGCTATTCAAATGTTGAAATCCCAAACCCAAACCTAACCCCTCTTTTAATCAAAATGTTTTCTAAACCCAAAAAAAAAAACTATTTTCCAAAAGTATTTCAAGTCGTCGCTTCACATGTTTGATTGATCCAAGTTTTTCTTTTCAAAAACCCCAAATTCAGACATTTATTTTTGAGTAGTCTACACTATTTTACTCATTTCACTCTCCACACTTCGAATCTTGATATGAGACTGGAATCCTTGGAAAACTTACTTTCAATACTTCAATTTAGACACAAAATTGACCTAATTCCAACTCCGAAAGAAGGAGATACGTCTGTTTGAGGTTTACCTAGTGAAGCTGTCTGGGGCAACCCGTGGGTGGACCCACGGCTGCAGATTGTAGTTTTCTTAGGCAGATTCTTAAGTGTGGTCCCCCCCAGCATCTTGGAACATCCTATACGCATATATATTGGATACACAATGCATAGAAGCATATTTAGGGCCCCTCTGGCCTATATATACACCCATTTGGGTAGAGAGAGAGAGAGAGAGACAACTTCCCTCTCCCTCACATAGCCAAAATTTATGCCAAAATATACCCTCAACTCTCCTCTCCCTCCATTGATAGTTGGTCCTTGGGTGTCGGGGAACTCTTTATTTAAGGGAATCCCACTTTTTTTGTTAGCTAGAGATTGGTTGGCAGTATGTGCTATGTAGGCTTTTGCCCGTGTTTAGCTTGTTAGGAGTTTTTTGTGTTTGTATTCTCATTGTCCTCTTGTAAGAGGATGCCTTATCCTTTCTTCCTTTTTTGATTTATCAATAAAGATTTTGTTGTTGATAAAAAAAAATTATCTCCATTGAAGTTTTGAGAGAAGCTTGAAAGGCTCCATCCATTGTTTTGGTTTCACTTCTTACTCTAAGCTAAAAGAAAGGTATACCTCTCTTTTATTGCATTTTCTCTCATTTCTTTTCTTTTCTTGGTATCCAAGCACATTATTACTGCTTTGAGATTGATTATATTAGTGGATTAGTCTTAATATTTGGGCATGTATAGCAGATATCCTTGTCAAATCTCTTTACTTTGAGCAAATCTTACTCTTCTTTTTTCTTTTCAATTTTCTTGCATTTTCTTGGTAGACAAACATGCATTATATCTTTGATAACTTGATAATGGTTGAATCTACCCCTCCTATTACTTATTTCATGGATTCAAGCCTTTCTCTTGCCTTTTAGGCAAGACTAATGCATGCTTTTGGGAGTATATTTGGGTCATTATCACTCTCTGCCTCCCTTCTTTTTCTGTGTTGTATGGCATTTCCATCATGTTCTTAGTGTCATTCATCATGATGATGAGATCTACCGTCCTCTAATCAACTAGTTCATGGATTTGAGCTTTTATCTAGTTTCTTGAACAAGATTTACACTCATTTTCATGCCTTGAAGGTTTTGGTTATTATCTACTTTACTTTATTGTTCTTATACTTCTAGTTTAGTTCTCTTTGATGGTGATTGGAATATATTCCCTCTAGACTATTTCATGGATTTTGGTCATCGTCTCACTCTTATGCGAGATTTACCGCTCTATCCATGCGGTTGGGAGTAGATTTGAATAGTTATCTATATCGATCTCATTTTCTTCTTGCTTACTCGCACTTTTTAGCATTTTTGTTACGCCTATGGCTTAGTTCGTGATGATAGCTAGACCTATTGCCTTGATTTGACTATTTCATGGATTCAGGCCTTTATCTAGCCTCTAATGAGTATTTACGCCTGTTTCCATGGTTTAGGGGTAGACTCTGGTCATCATCTATCTTTTACTTTGCTTTCTTTCTTTACTCTCTATATTTCTATTTCGTCCTTAGCTTCGTCCATGCATTTAGGCCCAGTTTGTTGCACAAGATATTGAAAGTATATTGTTGTGTTGATTATATGTTAAGATGATTTACTATGCTTGAGATGATTCAAGTGACATTTTAGTGACAACCGAGCCCATAGGAACCATTTTTATCAGTTTTATTGCATTTAGGATTATGTATATTTTTCTTTGTTTTCTAACACATGCTGCTTTTGGCTTGGTGCAAAGAAGTACTAGGTGAGCTTCTCTTCTTTCCTTCACATTTTGCTTGTGTTTGCTTTCTTGCTATGTCCAGCATGCTACCGTAAGGCTATTTGCTTGCTTGAGATATCTCTATGTTTACTCATTGGTTGGACGACACTTCACCTAAGTTGGAAATGCCTCTATATCCCTCTCAAGATAGTTTTCATCATTTTTCCCAAAAAACTGTCAATAAAACAATTTTTTTTTTATTTTTTTTTTTGATTGGCACCGGAGTATCCGAATCAGCAAGTGTGGAGTTTCGTACAAGTGCACCACGACTAATCCCTAGAGATGCATAGGCTCTTAGTATGGAGTTTCCTGCAAGTGCACCACGACTAATCCCAAGAGATGCATAGGCCCTTAGCAAGGAGTTTCTCGCAAGAGCACCACAGTTAATTAAAGAGTTTTACCCAATTCGATGGCACTAAGGAATTGTCAGCACCTAAGACTAAACCTTGGAGAGAGCACAGTCCCAAGACCCAAGGCCTTGCCACCAGGCTAACCCATTGAGGTTGCCAATAAAACATTTTTCATCATAGAGAGGATAGAAACTTTTCAAAATAAGTGATTTACTCTGTACTTATTTACTTCACGTAGTAAAGTTAGCATTAATAATCGGAATATGGACATATTTTGGCAATGATTCTCATATCAAGAATTAGTAGAGGCCGATCTTTGGATTGGGTGAGTTAGAAGTGCTCAATTCATGACATTTCCCTCTTATACCTAAACTCCCAGACCTAGTTATTTGGTCATGGTGGGTTGGTGGCCTATACTAATAGGTGTCAGGATTTTCTATTTTTCCCAAAAAGAATAGATATTGACTCCACGTGCTAAGATGGCACCGGGCATATTCTGAATCTCATTAGTATTTGATTTTGGCGTAGGGGTGGATGTGTAGGTGGCACATAGGAAGAGTATTCCTGACAAACCGTTCTTGTGGGTGCCACTACTTGGATACATAACTATGGCCGTAGGCATCCTTGGTGATTACCATGATAACGTTTTGAAATGTAACCAAGGGAGAATCCAAATAGCTCATGACCAATTCATAGTGGTTGGGTAGGTAAGAACAATACTCCATAGGGAGTTACCTAGACAAACTTAATTAACGAGCTCTAGGTACTTCAGAATACAGTATTTGATTACTTGCATTGATTGATATTTACCTGTATTCATGCTTCTCATTATTTCCTATAATGGTGATGTCTTGTTAAGCTGTAACTATAGTTTTGAAAATCCTTGGTCAAGATAGTATTAGGTTTGTTGTATCATATTGGGCTTCGCAGCTCACGCCAGGTACTAAAGAAGGATTTGGAGAGGCAAACAGGACAGGGAGAACGAAGGTGACGACCAACCTTACGAATCTTGGTTGACTTAAAAGCTGATCAAGTCTCCTTTCTCTTTAGATTACGTTTTGAATCTAATGGACTTGAAATAACCACTTAATGTTGTCTTATTCACGATAATATTAAATTGAACTTTGAGGATTTTTTCTAGGGGCAAAATTCGTTTGACCCCTTTGCGGTTTTGAGGTCGGAGCACTTTACGTCCTATAGTAATGGTTCAAATATAACTAGAAAACCCTCGTGTGATTTTGGACCAAAATGCAACCGTTAACTTCGTTAACTATAGACGAGAAATAACTATAATACCCTCAAACCCAATGCATTTTTCTTATTATTTTCTCTCTCTCTCCCCTCATAGACATAATCTATAATTTCTAACATTAATTCGATTAAATCACAATTAATCATAAATTCTTGATTATTTATTATAATTTCTAACTTTTTATCTAATTTTAATTTGATTACATTTTAGAACACAATTAATCATAAATCCTTAATTATTTATTATAATTTCCAACTTTTTAATCAAATTATATTTTAGATCACAATTAATCCCAAACCCTTAATTATTTATTGTAATTCCTAACATCTTAATCTAATTTTAATTTAATTATATTTTATATCAATCTTTAATTATTATTTATTTTATATTTTAAATCAATCCTTAATTATGCTTTAATTTAATTTAATTTAATTTAATTTTAATTAATATCTTAATCTAATTTTAGGTTTGGAGAAGATGGAGGTAAAATTATCTTTTTGTTGTGTTAATTTCACTTTATTTTTTCAAAAAACCAAGCCTACTTTAAAAAATGGTGTGTGTGAGATACACCTTCCGTTAATTTGGATTAAAAAACTAACAGTGACAATTAGTCCAAAACCACATGGGGACTTTACTGACTACATTTGAACCACTAGGGGCAAAGTGCTCCAGCCTCAAATCAAGAGGGTAAAATAAATTTTGCCCTTTTTCTAAATTGATGAACAGATCTTTTGGAAAAACGATCTGTGATTATTAATGAGTATCCTTGATCAATGTCCTATTTGTGGTCGTATAATTCTATGAAGTGCAAGAATTTTGGGCATCACAAATACACCACAAACTTTGAAATTCACTCTATTATGTATAAGGTTAAGCCAACAATTTTTTTCATTAACTGCAATCAAATTGCAAATCTTTAATATAGAGCACAACAAGCGACTTTAATTTTCTCCATCAGAATGGAACAAACTATTAACAAAATATGTTGTTATCTACTGACAATAGCGCAAGATAACATTGGGTGTATATAAATAGGAAACTCATTTAAAAGTAATATTCATGAATGTTGCTCATATGTTTCTAGAAACAATTTGTTCTTTAAATAATGAAAAACAAGTCAGGAATGACAAGAAAAAATCAGTGAACAAAGAACCAAAGAAATTCCAAATCAAATATTTACAACAAAGGCGCGGTGTAAGACAACTCAGATTAAAGAATGAAAAGGGCAGGGAACAGAGAGCTGGTAAAAAATGATGGGGTTGGTCCTTCACATTTCCTGTTCCAAAGGAATAGATCAGAAGCTTCACATTCCTATCATAATCCCAACACTTTGCCTCAGCCCTCAGCCTTCTTTCCATATTAGCACAAGGCAACATACCTCAGCTTTGCAAGATTATGTAATATTCTGTTCAATTTTAGTATGCCAGACACCTGATATCAATCCTTTTTAGGACAATGCC